AAATCAGACCCGACAGTGAGCTTTTTGAAGTCCGGGAAAAGCCAGGCCCTGAGATGCCAAACATGGCCCCTTCTGTCACGAATAATGCTGACTTGACTGATGCCCGGGAGATCAACTTCGAGTACCTTAAACATGTTGTTTTAAAATTCATGTCCTGCCGAGAATCCGAGGTAAAGAGCTTCCAAGCTGCCTTTTGGGTATTGAGCCCAGCCCTGCTCGTAGCTTCCCACCCAGTCCACTTCCTTCCCTCCCCCACCTCCATGTTCCATGTGGATACTTGGCCATTTCTCAATCAGAGCCATAGGAAGGTAGAGACCACGGAAGAAAGTGGCTCATAGGGGAAGATATAAGCTCCACTTTCAAATCTTAACTTGGATGCTAAGGCCAGAGTCTTGGGAACAGAATCCACCCAGCATTCCTGAGTACTGCCAAAAGAGCAGAATAACTGCAGAGGATGTTTTCTTGGTCCTTCCAGTCCCCAGAGTGAGAGATGGGGGGAAAACAGAACATATCATTGTTGACATACTTCAGAAAGTACAAACTTCAGCTACTTGTCCTTGCTAATCAAAGCAAACAGGAAATGCTGTCCCATTTAGTCCCCTTACTTTCTGCCCCCACCCCACCAAGCAAAACCTGTTTTGTTTCAGGCTTTTCACCTTATAAAAGCTGTGTCAGTGTTGCTGAACTTTTCACAAGAGGAAGAGAATATGCTCAAGGAAACTCTGGAATATAAGGTAGGGTTCTGATCTGCTGTTTCAGCTGCCAAACACTCTAGTCCAACATCCCAGCACTGGCAAATGAGACCAGCCCCTGGAGGCAGGTAACCAGTCACAGTTGCATCATCAGCTGAGCTGCTTTTGGATGATGAACTTGATCTGAGTACTGAGGACTTCTTTTTTTGCCCAAATGTGCTGCATTTGACGAGCAGACTGTATTTTTTTGAAGCATTTTTGTTGATAGCACTTCATCAACAGCATCACATTTGGCATAGCACTTTAAAAAAAAAAAAAAAATTCTGGGTTGGGGATGTAGCTCATTGGTAGAGTACTTACCTAGCATGTGCAGGTGCCCTGAGTTTGATCCCTAGCACAACAGCAAGAAAATTTTTTTGAAATCACCTGCATAAATACTGAAACAGAAAAAATTACCAGGGTATGGCGGTGCAACCTCTAATCCCAGCTACCAGGGAAGATAAGGGCAAGAGGAGAATCACAAATTCCAGGGCAGCTTTGAAAACTTAGCAAGACCCCATCTCAAAATTTTTTTTTTTTTTTTTAAAGAGAGAGAGAGGAGAGAGAGAGAGAATTTTAATATTTATTTTTTAGTTATCGGCAGATACAACATCTTTGTTTTTGTACGTGGTGCTGAGGATCGAACCTGGGCCGCACGCATGCCAGGCGAGCGCGCTACCGCTTGAGCCACATCCCCAGCCCTCAAATTTTTTTTTATTTTTATTTTTATTTTTTTAGAGAGAGAGAGAGAGATTATTTATTTATTTATTTTTTAGTTTTCGGCGGACACAACATCTTTGTTTGTATGTGGTGCTGAGGATCGAACCCGGGCCGCACACATGCCAGGCGAGCGCGCTACCGCTTGAGCCACATCCCCAGCCCCTCAAATTTTTAAAAAAGGGCTAGGAATATAACTGAGCGGAAGAGCACACTGGGTTCAATTCCCAGTTACAAAAAGACAAAAACTTACTTACAATTCTATTGCTTTGTTCTCATCACCTCAAGTTTCTTTCCCACACTTAGAATGGGGCTCTCAGCTCTGCAGACTGGTAACTGGAACCATCTCCATTGCTTTGTTCACAGCCAGTCAGGACAGCAGGAGGTTGGGAGCAGGGACTCAGGGAAGGAGAGGGGGCTGTTTCTGCTTCCTCAGCACCCAGTCCTGCTTCTCTTCTCAGGAGCCTTTTCTGTTTCAAACACAGATGTCGTGGTTTGGTTCTAAACCAGCTCCCAAGGGCAGCATCCGGCCGTCTATTTCAAACCCTCGGATACCATGGTCCTAGAGGGAACACCCAAGGATGGAGCTCCGTGGGTTGACATTTTTCTGTGAAAAGAACACTGACACACCAGCCTGGGTGGGTTTTTAATCACTGTAAATGCAGTATTTTGTACAAGCGTCTAAATATTGTTTACAAGACTTTAGACTACCTTCCTGCAGGCTGACATGAACCGCAGGAGGGAGCTGATCCTGTTATTCTGGTCACCCAATGGGGAGGGTCCCAGCACTACCCAGACTTCCAGTGCTGCTAATATCCTAGCCCTGGCCAGCACCCGAGTCCTCTTAACATTAGCACGAAAAGCTGAAGCAGCGATCAGTATGTCAGGTTGCAACTGACTCATCATGTACAGGTGATGTATAGAGGCGACGACAGCCCTTTGAAATGGTGCCCAGCAGGCCAGACCCACCTGCTTCTGCCACAAAAAAGCCAACTCCGTGAAGGTGGCTTTTAAAAGTCCCCTTCCGTTGGCGTATTTTGGATCAGTTGAGTTAGGAGAGGCTTTTGACCCTTCCTCTTGAGAAAACATTTCACTTTGTTTCCCACACCACCTAGAACTTGAGATGTGTGCATCTTTAAGGTACTCTGGGGCCAGTGTGGATTCATGAAGAATATGCAACTTTCTGACGGTGTCTCCATTTTACTTAAGAGAACTAGCAGTCAGATAAAGAGATTCTAAGTATAGTACCAAATACACTCAATTGCCTTTTTAATGAATGTACTTATCTTGGATAGGTTGCTGGTAAACCATTTTAAACTATTTTTTATAGCTAAATAGTTCTTCACTATTATAAACATATCTTCTGTATTATAAAATCCATTTAACTGGTGTTCTTAAAGGAAGATCAAATCATCAAGAGGAAATGTTTCTATAAACGGGATTCCTGTCCCTCTGTGATTCTGTTCTCTGAAGAAGCCGTGGTATGTCATCAACTTTGCTCTAAATTCTTACTACCACTGCTTATCACACTTTTTCTACTTAAGGATAGTCTGCTTTATTCAACCAGAGCAGCAGCTGTCCCTTCTTCCCTCAGCCTTGACCAAAACATTGGTGGCAGTCTGCCTTGTATGTGGAGCCACTCTCCCCATCACCCTGCCCCCCTGTATTTGACACTACATTCATGTACAGCGTCCAAACAGCCCCAGCTGGCTGCAGTACTTGATAGCACACACATGCCTCCAACAAGAGCTGACAAAAACTAGTATTCATTATTATGCTTGTTCTGGATAAGCCAAAACATGGAATCTAAAAGGAAACCATTTACTGATTTATAGTTTGATAAAAGTTTCATTGATAAATAAAAAACTACTAATAACTGGAGCTCCTAAATTTATTATGTCATGTATCTATGTAAAGTTGTTCCTCAATTATGCTTAAGGTCAAAATACATATATATATATACAGACATACATAAAATATATCTCACAGAAAAACAAGTATTGGCAGTTTACTTCATTTCCATGAAGTACCAAGCCAGGGCAGCAAGACCTTAGCCCAGCTCAGGCTCTCCCATGCAAAAGAACCATTCTCCAGTTACCTACCTCCTTGTGTGGCCCTTCCTGCAGATGTCTGTCCCTTTAAAATGCTACTTCCCACCTAGTGGGGACATGGAACTGGAGCCCCTTTTGTTTGCTAACTTTGATGAGGAAGAGGTAGCTTCCTCCTTTTCACCTGTTCCAGGAAAGAATCCAAGGGGACTGATAGTTCATGGTTTACCAGAGGCCGCTACAACATTTCTGTGGAAGCCTGTGCCACTCCCTGGCAGTTTGAGGGGTGGCTATGAGGCCCGTTACGAAGTCCAGTAGCTTAAGACAGCTCCCTCTGACTAGGCTTTCCTCCTGCATGTTGAATTTCCTTCAGCTTTAAGAGGAAGAATGGAGTAAATATTCCAAGTGATTTAATGCACTTTTACTTTGTATAAAACTGTGATACATATATATATATATATATATATATATATATATATATATATTGCCCTTTATATGAGCATCAGACCTTGATCCACACTCTCAGTGTTGTAAATAGGAACTGTATTACCTAAAAACTGCTGTAGAAAATTCATTTGTGGTGCAATACACTTTTGGATTAAAGCTCTTCAAACCAGAGACAACTACAGTGGGTTTTACTTGATATACCTTGGCATTTCTTGACTTGTTAAATCTAACATACTGTGTCTTATATTTAATATTTCAAGGGTTGAGGTTTCAGAAAGAACTTCCCCAGGCTGGGCTTTTGATTACATGTGATTTAATGGTGCCAACAATCTAGTCTTCCCTCCCAAGCATCACATGGTTCTGCAGAGGAGCTGGGGAAGGCAAAGGCTTGTAGTTACTTTGGTCAAAGTCTATATCCAAGGCCTGCCTGACTGTGAGAGCTTCAGGAATACGAGTAAGGGTCCTTTAACAGAATGCAAGTTGTAGTTACACATGCTGAGAAGCAGCTCTTGTAAGAGGCTCACCGTTGGTGGTTATGTGGAACAAAATTTTGTTCTTTTTATGTCTGTTGGCTGATTGCTAACTGTTTCTGGTAGTTCTTTAAAGAAAACTTGTCATTATTCCATAAGATTCCTGGAACACAGCAGACCCAGCATCAGGAGATGTGACTAGGTACAGCCAAGGCCTACTCTCAAAAGACTCAAAAGTGTAATCACACAAACTGAAGACTTTTAAAGCCTTGATGAATTAGTAAATTTTCTGGCACTTTATTAAGTTAAATAAGCTCCAAAATTACATACAAATAAAATGAGTAAGAAACAATAAATAGTTTTTCAACAAAACACCTCTCTGAAGCATCCAGTGACTCTGTAGCCAAGGCTTGCTGAAGTTCTGTGTGACAAGAGGCCTCCAGACTTCCATGCTCTCTCCCCAGGGATGGCTGGACAGAAAAGCACACCCACCCATTCCACATGGAGTTTCTGGAACAGTCAAACTCTCATTCATGACCAACCCATTCATTATACTTTTTACATACATGAAACACACAGCAATGATATACTAATAAGCCAAGAGCTTTATTGATGCAGCAGGCACTTTACAATGAACCCAAGAGAGTCCGCCTTCTCTGGGAAGACAGGATGTCTGTACAAACTCTCAGGTTTTTCCACTTCAAAAACACAAGCTCTCCCTTTCACCGTGGCCCTTGGATATGCACCTGCCCAAATCATCCCTCCCCCATTTTAAACAAACAGGCAGTGCACACACAATGACCAACACTGGCCAGCCACTCTGTAGACAGTTCTGCATCACTCTATAGCGATGTCAGTTCTGCATCGCTTTGTAGACAAAGGCAGACTCTCGGATCCTGCAAAGGATTTAGGAAACAGTAAGATGATTTCTCCCTCCACCTCAAAAATAAAATACATTTCAGCCGATTTCAGCAGATATGTGTCCTGAAATACTTAGTTGGGAGTTCCTAGGAAGATGGTCCATTGTCAATCCCTTCTTCACCAGCCTGGGCATCCAAAATTCTTCTCAACGTAACATGAGTCTTTTTTTTTTTAAACAGTCTTTCTTGCTGTAAGAACTCTTATAATGGAGCCTAGTCCTCCTACAGCTAAGGCCTGTGGGGGCAGGAAAAGGAAGCATGTCAAATGAGACCTGGATGACCAAGGGGGAGATGGAACCATGCATTCCTGGACCTAATCCCACTGTGTCACAGACCCACTGACAAAGGATTCCTGCGAAGGAAAACAAGTTCTAGGAAAGGCGGCTTGTCTGGAGCCGAGGGTCCCAGGAGCTGCCAGCATTGAGGCAGTAGAACTGGCTTGAGAACACAGTCAACAGGCACACGGCAGAACACAAGTTTCCCTCAGGACAAGCTCACTGCTCCCAGCCTGTCAGCACTGCCCAAGACGAAAAAATGCACACCACCCCTCAGGGCTAAGGGGATGAAAGGACCTGGCTTCCATGCCACACAGAAGGCTTGCTCACTCTCCTAAGCAACAAAGCCTCCTGCACCTACTGAGCCATAGCAAAGGGGCGGCCAAAAAGGAACAGCACACCTAACAGCAGGACTAGAGGCCACAGCCAGCACCCATAACCCAGCACCATGGCTACACGAGGATCTAACCACCAATAAGGGAAACATTTTCAAAATTCAATGCTGGTTTCCTAGGAAGGACAGTGTGTTAGCCGGGTCCTCTTTAATGGCAGGCATGCCCACTGTAGTGTTATAAGGAGTTGGAGGTCGGGAGGGCTACAGTAGCACACAAGGCCTTGTTCCTACCCCACAAGCCAAGGGCAGACACAGCTTTTTTTCTACTTCAAGTGGATTAAATGACCATCAAGGTTTCTGCCCATGGTCCCTATGGGTCTGGAGAAGCCAGAAAGGCCAAGGCAGGAAGCCCTCAGAATAGGTGGGAGGGTTGAGCCTGCATTTCTAAGATCCCTCCACCCAACTCCCTCAGCAGCTATCTCCACCAATGCAAAGAAGGTATCATGAAGCCACACCCAACCAGCATGCCTCCCTCCTACCTAACCATGCCATGGCACCTGCCCCCATGTCCTGCCTGGCATAAATCCGCAGCTAAAAAGCAATAGCAACCACGATTACCAGAGACAACATACCTACCAGGTGCTTCTGTGGAAAAGCAAGTGATCGTAAATCCGGGATTAGGCCTGTCATTCTCACTGGCCCTTAGACTAGCCTAGGTTTATTTTGGAAAATCTGGCCTACTGATTTGAATGCTGAGGCATGTCAGCAGGCTGCCTGAAGGGGGCGATGTGTTCACGTACCTTTTCGTGCCACTGGAGTAACACTGCGCTGCTATTTTCTGTGGGCTTCTCAAACCCTTTATAAATGTACTTCATTAACAAGTCAATGCCATTTCTGTCCAGTGACTGCACAGCCTGCTCAATTTCGCTGCTTTTAAAGTTTGTGAGCACTTTCAGCACCACACCCTGGGCTCGCTCCTACAAAGGAAAGAAAAAGGGAGTGAGGTCCAGAGCCACAGCCCAGCCACAACCACACTCACACCCACAGCACCAAATCAAGTGGGCAGAACTCACCAGAAATCTGCTCAATTTCAAATTCATCTAGGACAGTTGAAAAAATTAAGTAGGCTAATGTTTTTAAAAAATTAATTTCAATGTTACCCCCTTACTTATGCCAGGAAGTTATTCTACTTATTTTAGGGATTTTCTATGACATCAGCAAGGCCTCAGATTCCACAAGATATAAAAAAGCAGTGAGCTTTTCTTTTTTTTAAAAAATACTGGCTTACTTGGCTGCAGCTCGCCTGAACATAACCAGAAATAAAGGGGCTGTTCCCCTCCACCACTGCAAAGGTACAGCTGCTAGGTTACATCAAGATGCTTTCAGAATCCTAGCTGCAGGGAGGCCCCTCTCCCTGCACCAAGTTAACAGCATAATTATATTTTTGCACCTAGTTTTTAAAAGGCAGGAAGTGCAAAAGCACTTAAAATCCTTATGCATATAAAGCCTATTCAATAGCTATAAAAGCATAACCACTGATAAGCCCCAAATGGCAGCTCATTTATCTGTTTTGCTAATCATCAAGGGCTGGGCTAAGTTCTAGCCCCATAAAGCCCTAGAGAAAAGTCAGTGTTTCTTTGGGGAGCTTTTATTATAAACATAGCTTCAGGGCTAGGAGTGTAGCTCAGCAGTGCCTAGCAAACATAATCCCTGGGCATCACAAAAAAAAAAAAAAATCACAGCTGTGATGTTAGAGGAATCTCAACATACGGGGAGTGCCAGGAGGCACAGTGCCACTGTCGCTCAGATGAAGCAGACACTGTCCAGACCCCAAGGAGCTCATGCTCCAGCGAGACAACTGCAGCCCTGGTCCCAACAACACCCAGCAGAGCTGCAGCACAACCCCCTTTACCTTCACAGCTTGATTCTTGGTGTTGACTGGAGAGTTCCGCAAAGCTGCATGGAATGCCCGAAGCATGTCCCCTGTGCATCACTGCCAGTTAAGGATGGCTAGGCTGAAACATGTCCATGCTTTTACTAATGAACTCACTTAAAAAACAGCTCAAAAGCAGAGTGAAAAGGGATCTAACACATTCCACCCATCATGCACTGATGGCCTCCTCCAAGTGGGCATAGCCTGTTTACACCTCAATCTTTTCTGAGCCTCAGGGAGGGTGAAGGGCACCTCTGGCGACCCTAAGCCCTTCCTTCCACCTCCCATTAAAAGCAGCTGTCCTTGAGGAGTAGCTTACAGTAAAAAGTGTTTAAGCTTGCTTGTACCTGTTTAGTACTAGGCACCATATCTGCCCTACTGGGTCCTCATGGCAACAGTGCACATGAACTAGAAACCACTCTCAAAGAATGAAGGCACAAACAGGTCTAACTCTTGCCTAATACAACTACTAAAGAAATCAAGATGTGCTAAAATTTCTATTTCCCGGGTCAATTAAGTCCCAACTTTTTTTTTTTTTTAATTGTAGGTGGACACAATACCTTTAGTTCACTTATTTATATGCGGTGCTGAGGATCGAACCCAGTGCCTCCCACATGCTAGGTGAGCACTCCACCGCTGAGCCACAACATCCCCAGCTGAAGTCCCAACTTCTGTGAGAAACTTTTGCCAATAAAATGAGCTGATCTCCATTTCCCTGCTCCCCCAAACTTAGTTGGAATCCTGACACCACATTTTTTGCTGAATTCTGAATACCCAGCACACAAAAGAAATTACAATCTGGGTTAGGTCCCCAAAGGTGACACCTATTTTAAACTGAATTACATCAGCCGACTTTCATTTCCTCATGTGAAACACTGGCTGCAGCCAAAAAGCTTCAAAAATAGAACAAGGAATAGCTCTGCCCAATCAGGTCTTTACTCCTGCACATGCAGTGATACCCACATGTGAACAGAGAGAGCCTCTGGTGCAAAGCTTAATTCCCAGCTTCCCTAGTGTGGACTCCATCTTGATGGAGCTGGGTCTATGCCACCAGGCAAGCCACTCCCAGCCCTGGCTCCCCTGCTCCCTGCCTGGCTCCAATCCACCTTCTACATTGGAGCAGCAGCCCACCCCTCTTATCTTTCAGCTCCGGAATTCCTTTTAACCAGCCACTGGTAACCTCTACCACGCAGTTTTGTTTTTTCCTGGTACTAGGATTTAACTGGGGGCACTTAGTCACTGCACTATATCAGGCCCTTTGTATTTTCTATTTGGGGACTGTAAGTTGTCCAGGCTGGTCTCAAACCTGTGACACTCCTGCCTCAGCCAATTACAAATGTGCACCACCATGCTAGGCTCCTCTCTTCTACTATGGTGTCCTCAAAGCAAAAGGCAAGGTCCCAGAGACTTATAAGACATATGGGCTAGCTCACTCTTCACTTCAACCTAGCACAATGAGCAATTAGTCAACAAGATGGATGGGGAAGGGCAAGGATGATTCAATTAGTGGATGAGGGCAAAAAGTCACTGTTTTTAATATGAAGTCCCTGCAGCACTAGTCTATCAAGGAAACAGTGCAGCCAATGACATAGGAGAGCCTGGAGCCACTTTGGAGAACTTCCTTGTAATCACATATCATTTATGAAGCTGGCCTCTATACCCTTCTGGCTTTTAGGCTCATTCAAAGAACAGGCTGTGACAGCTGGGGGAAGCTTACCCAGCCCCTAGTCTTTTCTAGATTATTCTCAACCATGATACTACAGATTTTTTAGACCACATGATTCTTTGATGTGGGATGCATCCTATAATTAAGCATTATAGGATGCATTTCAGCATCCCTGGCTTCTATCCACTAGATTCCAGTTAACACCCTAAATTGTGACAATCAAAATGTCTACAAACATTGCCAAATTTCCTGAGGGGCTGGGGAAGAGTGCAAGATCATTTAAAATCCTGCTTTAGTCCTTACTATAAGGACCAGAATTGCTTTACTGAGAAAAGGTACTATTGCCACAAGGCCTAGGACCTGGTCCAGATGCTTTTCATATAATTTTAATTCCAAAAACCCTTTGTGACAAGAACCATTATTTCCATTTAAAAGGTGATGAAACTGAGGCTCTGAGAAGGAAAATAACCTGCTTAAAAAGTCAAAAGTTAGGATATCCAGCTGGCCTTCAAATGCAAGGTTTTTTCTATTTGTGTTACTGGGGATTGAACCCAGGAGCCCTCTACCACTGAGCTCCATCTCCAGCCCCTTTTATTTGTTGAGACAGGGTCTCGCTAAGTTTCTGAGTTTGACCTCAATCTCATAATCCCCCTGCGTCAGCCTCCTGAGTCATTGGGACTGCAGGTGCACTCCACCTTGCCTGGCTCAAGCTCTTTCGACAATCTCTTGCTGCTGCTCTATCACTGTCCCAAGCTGTATGTCTGGGCACACTTGCTGGGTGCCCAGTGTTGCTCCCATGGAACTGATAAGGCCAGCATGGCTATCTTTTAAGAGAAGAGGATGCTGAGGTTTAGAGAAGGTATGTGACCTATGCAAGGTCACCAGAGCACAACAAAGCAGATCTGTATTGATACACAGCCCATGTTCTTTCTACTTCTTCAGCATGATCTCCCACCATGACATGCTTCCCACACACTCCCCAGTACTACCCTGAAACAGGCCTCTCTCTCAACTCCTCCACCTCAATCAACCTCTCTCCTGTTCCCCTAAGACTCTTAAGAGGTTCTATAGTTTAAATTCAATGACCTAATACAAGTCCAATACTTGGCACATGGTAGGGACTCAAATAATAGTTCCTTCCTACTCCTTACTTTGGCCCACATTTGCCACAATTTCAGTTTTCCTCATCTGCTAACCTCCTTTTTCCCAATTCCAAATAGTATATACTCTTCATAGTAATGTTTCTGGCACTACCATTAGTGGAAAACCTATTAACCCCTGCATGTGGTAAGTCTAGACCTCTAAGCTGCCTCAAGAAACCCAACTATAACTAGCCCTGGGCTTAGGGAGACATAACCTTCAACAAGCCCTTGTAGCAACAAGACCAAGGCAGCAGCTGGACCTGGCCTTGGTCTCTTCACCTATGGAATGAGGGTTCTGGACCAAAGGCCTGACCCTGGAGCCTTTTCAGCACTGTCTGCTCATGAGGCAGGCCCTGCACCAAACTAGAGAACCAACCTTCCCTCCAGGGGGCCCTCCTCATGACCCCATTTCACCAGTAGGGAAACTGAGCAATCTGGAGGGAGCAGGAAATACAAGTTTCAGTGTTCACCTTTGAAAACACATTCCTGTCCAAAGAAAGTCTGACGGTTTTTGTTTTAAGGGCATATTAGAGGAGCACCACAGAACTCCTCCCAAAAAAATAGTGGGCCTGATTGTCCAAGCTGAGTCAACTGATTAAACACTCAGAACCTGATTTATATACAGCAGGAGCCTCCAACCCTGCCCTGGTGAGTGTGGGGGAGGGGAACACACTTCCTGTAACACCATTTGAATAAAGAAAAATTCTTCCTGTGAGAATAAGTCAGTTTCCTGTGCTAAGGGACCAAGCAGGCTGTGACAATCACCTCTATTTTTAATCTTCTGTTCTAAATGCTTGTTTTCTGTGGCCACAAGAACCGTCATTTCTAATCTTGGGACTCTACTTTTACACTTCACTCTACACTGTATGGTTTTTCTTAGCTCTAAACTAGTAGGGTATTTTTTGCACTGCTTCCTGTACAAGACTCCTGGGGGAGTCACAACTCACTTGTTGAGCTTGGCTGAGACCGTGAAGGTCCAAAGCCCAAGGTGTTCAGAGAAAAATGAAAACAGGTGAAAAAGGATGGCATCAAGCCGACTCTTGGGTAAAAGGCGCACAATCTCGGACTTCAGTGCTGGGCTAAGGCTGCAGCCTTCATTTACCCCTTGGTCCTTTCTTCCCCGCAGTAAGCCACCCGCCCACCCACCCATGCTGTGCTGTGCTGCGCTGCAATCGCGCCCAAGAAAGCAAGTAGGAAGGCCCACGACGGTGCCCCCACCGCCTGACCGCTCAAACACTCAGAGGTGCTCGCTTCGGGCCCCTCCCGCCACCGTCAAAGGGCCTAGGTGCTTCAAGGAGGGATGGAGTTATGGGGCGCCCAAGGCAGGGTCAGCTTGAGAGGATGAAGCGGCAATGGGAGGGGGACCCGCCGAGGGAGCCTGCACACCAGGGTCCTGGGGCCGCGTGGGGCTGCGCTGCTGAGGCGGCGGCGCCAGGGGTGAGGGAACTGAGGGAACGTGGGCGGAGGGCAGCCGGCTCGCAAGGGAGTTGAGAGCGGCTACAAGGGGCCGGGGTAAGGGGAGTGGGGAGGCCGGGCCCGAGGGGCCTGAGCCAGGGATGGGGAAGGTGAGAAGGCGGGGCCGGAGCGGCGTCCGGCCGGAAGGGAGCGCTTAGGCCCGGCGCCGCGCCGGGGAAGGATATTGCCGCAGCAGCCCGTCCACCTCGCTAGGGTCTGGGCCTGGCTCTCCTGCTGCTGCCGCCGCCTCCTCATGCTCGTCCACGAATTTGTTCTCGTCAAACTCGTCGATGTCCACCCGACGGAAGCGCGAAGACAGCGTGTTCCGGGCCATGTCGGGAGCTCGGAGCCTGCCTCAGACGGCTCCGCTCCGGGCCCGACCGCGGCTCCGCTCCGCTCAGCACCGGCTCGGGCTCGGGGGCGGGAAGCGGCCGCCCGGCACCTCCCCCGCGCGCAGACGCCGCCGCACGCCCACTTCCGTCCTGCACCGGAACCGGAAGCTCCGGGCGGGGCTCGACGGGGGGCGTGCCGATGTGATGGGACAGCCTGACTTGCGGGGTAGTGTTCTTCCCGGCACATACCGGGAAAGCTACTCTCATCTTCGTGAGCCGAGTCTTCCATTGTAGGGAGCGAGCGTCCCGTGCACGCACGGATCTGGCATTCTGTGCGCCGTAATTGTGCCTCCCTGCCTCCGAGGAGACTCTGGCCCAGGGAGGCGGGCCCGGGGCGGCCACAGGCGAGGTCTCCCGACGTGGTCACTGCCCAGACCCGAGGGACACCGAAGCCGGGATGTGTTTCTGGAGCGCCGGATAGACTTCTGCGGCCTGAAGGAAGTAAGAGTTCTTATGCCCTGGGGAGTGACCAGAGAGGGAGTCCCTAAGCCTGGGAGCCTTGACCACCACCACACTGAACCAGAGGAGGTTGCCAATGCTTTATACATAAAAGTGACCATACTGTTAAAGGAGCGAGAGATTTTAAAGACGTTTAAAGTGTATCCAGGGGGCTGTCAAGACTCTGACAGATTTTACCTTGGGCATGTCGCAAGCTTGCAGTATATAGCATTCACCATGGCCCTGCGGGTAGGGGGCCAGGAGAGGTACATGACTCGGTTGCCACCATACTGGCCCAAAGGGCTAATTCCGAGTGTGGAGAAGTTCTGACCAGACAAGTGCATCTTAAGAAGCTGACTTCCCAGAATCTGATGGAAGGTGAGGAGGTTAGGACAAAGTCTAGGACAACTGAGATGCCATGATTAGTTTCCTGAAGAGTTCTGTTAATTGACCTTTGACCCTTGCCTTAGGCTAACATGAGCCTTTTTCATACAAAAGTGTGAAAACTATTTTCATTACATTTTCCTCTGATTGTACTTTTTATTAAAAGTAGTTGAAACATGACTTGTTTTCATTGCTTTAAGCCACCCAGTCTGCTATTTTGTTATGACAGCCAAGCTGACTCCTCCCCAACTCCCAACATTGTACTGAGGGATTGCTAGGCAAGTGCTCCATCACTGAGCTATATCCCCAGTCCATTTTCATTGCTATGAATACTTCACACTGAACAATCTACAGGTTAAAAAAGTAAAAAAAAAAAAGGGGGGGTTGGGGATGTGGCTTAAGTGCTCAATCCTCAGCACCACATAAAAATAAAATAAAGATATTGTGTCCACCTTAAAAAAAGTCAATATTTAAAAAAAAAAAAAGGAAAAAAAAATATGCTACCAGACTGTGATGCAACTTAACCTTGGAAGCTAAAGATACAAATTCCCACCATGGAAGTCTGAATAGTCTGAAGTTCTGGAAACTATCAAAACCCATATGTATTTCAGCCCCATACCTGGGAAGACATTTGTGTGACTCTGGTAGTCCACAAATCAGTAAAAAGTTCATATCCCCCAGAACATCCTGATCAGAAGATACTTGAAAACAGAAATGCTTATTTTACAAGTAAGGAAACAGCCCCCCAAAAAGTGGTGAAAGAAATAATGTTATAGCTCATGGTCACAGACTTCCAGTTGTCAGGGAGATAGGACTCAAAAATCCAGGGGCTGAGGATGTGGCTCAAGCGGTAGCACGCTCGCCTGGCATGCGTGCAGCCTGGGTTCAATCCTCAGCACCACATACAAACAAAAGATGTTGTGCCCGCCGGTAACTAAAAAATAAATATTAAAATTCTCTCTCTCTCTACCTCTCTCTCTCTCTCTCTCTCTTTAAAAAATAAAAATAAAAAAAGATATTGTGTCCACCTAAAACTAAAAAATATTTTTAAAAAGATTAAAAAATCCAGGGGGCTGGGGATGTGGCTCAAGCGGTAGCATGCTCGCCTGGCATGCGTGCGGCCCGGGTTCGATCCTCAGCACCACATACAAACAAAGATGTTGTGTCTGCCGAAAACTAAAAAAAAAAAAAAAAAAAAAAAATCCAGATTATACTATGTCAGTAATAACTGAGTACTGAAGGGAAAATTTCTTAGATGAAGAATGCAGTTGTGCAGGATGCAGGGCGCATGCAGGAGGATCGTGAGTTCAAAGCCAGCCTCGGCAATGGTGAGGTGCTTAGCAACTCAGTGAGACCTGTCTCTAAATAAAATACAAAATTAGCCTGGGGATGTGGCTCAGTGGTTGAATGCCCTGAGTTCAATTCCCAGTACCAAAGGAAAAAAAAAAAAAGGATGCAGTCGTAACTCTGAAGGGACAGTCCTGGGAACTGTGAGCACAGGAGTGATATGACCTGACTTCTGATTTAGTTGACAAGGAGTTCTGTAGCAGCTGTATTAGGAACACATTTGAGAGCAAGAGCCAAAGCAGGGATGATTTAGGTGTTTTTTGTTGTTGTTGTTGTTGTTTGGTACCAGGGATTGAACTCGGGGGCACTCAATCATTGAGCCATAGAGACAGGGTCTCATTGAGTTGCTTAGTGCCTCATTTTTGCTGAGGCTAGCTATGAACTCGTGATCCACCTGCCTCAGCCTCCCAAGCTCCTGGGATTATAGGCATTCACCACCGCGCCCAGCTAGCAGACGTTATTTAGGAGGTTGCACCAATGGTCCAGATAATAGGCAGTGATAGCTCAAGCTAAGCAGGCATGAATAAGGGTGGTAGGAATCAGGTATATTTGCAAGGTAGAGTGAATGGGATTTGCTGGTGGCATGTAAGAAACAAGGGAGTCAGATGTGACTTCAAATTCAAAATATCAAACAAGCATTAATTGTAATAGAACTATAAGCATTTGGTAAATAGGACAGCAAAGCCCTGGTATACCTTTAGACTTCCATCTCAATCTAATCCATGCCAAGATTGCCCTGTCTGTCCTTTTACCCATGTCCTTCCATTTCCTGGAAGTCTGTCTCACTGTGGTCTGGGGCAAGGCTTGTTAACTCATTCATGTGAAAAATATCCATGGGCTGGGTCTGGAGACCATAAAAACAAGTGGTTCTGCCTCCAGGGAACTTCCAGGTTGGCTGTGAAGACAGACACAGAAGCACATCATTTAACTATGTTTAGGGCCAAATCAGGTTGCACAGAGAGTCTGAGACACAAGGAGAGGTTGCTACTCATAATGGGGTGGAAGAAAGCTCCCAGGATTAAGTGACACCTGACAGCAAGCAACCAGAGGCTTCTTTTTTTGGGGGGGGTGGGGTACAGGGATTGAACCCAGAGGCACTTTATATCCATGAGCTACATCCCCAGTCCTTTTTTATTTTGAGATAGGGTCTCACTAAATTGCTTAGGCCCCACTAAGTTGCTAAGGCTGGCCTTGAACTTGTAATCCTCTTGCCTCAGCCTCAGGAGCCACTGGGATTACACGTGACTGCCACCCAGCTCGGTTAACAAGAGGCTTTACTAGAGCTCTAAGAGATGGCCTATCTTTGTTAATGGCAGTGGAGGGACACCAGAGTACCGCTGATTGGGGCAGCAATGGAAATGCCCAGTCAGAAAACCTAAAACCCTCCTGCTTTGTGAGTTCCTGTTTAATTTTCAGGGTCCAACTTAAGTGTTCATTCCACTAAGAACATTAATACCAGTGATTATTATGCATAAGGTCTTGTACTGAGTTTTGTATGTATCTTCTCTAATCCTGGTAAACACCCTATTTCACAGGTGAGAAAACAGACTTAAAAGGGGGAAGGGATTTGTCAAAGAGTTTCAACTAGTACCTGGCAACACTGCAAGAATTTGAAACCCGTCGAGTTCACTAAAAAAAGGTCTGTGGATGCTATTTCCACTGCTGCATACTGCCTCCACCAGAACGTTTAGAGTTGGATAACAGCCATCTGACTTCGCCTCTTCCCGCCCACCTTGCACCATAAATTCCTCCAAGACCGTGGCTGAGTTAATTCACCTTTGAAAACCCTAACCTTTCATCCCCTCCGCACCTCCAGACCACCAGCCCCTAGCTGAGCAGCACAGAATGGGATAGCTACAAGGTTTCCCGATGAATGAACAAATAAATGAGTGGGCAAATTCAAGCCCATACTACTCTGCCATCTCTGGTCAGAGGCTGCCCATCCCAGGCCTCAGTTTCCCCAACTGCACCGCTCAGGGCCCATGCCAACCTACATAACCCCGGACGCAGCATAAGAACGCACCTGCGGAAGCGGCGCGGGCTCCGCGGGCGGGACGGGACGGGGCGGGACCGGACCTACCGCGGCGCTCCGGGAGGAAAGGGCGGAGCCGGAGAGTCCTAGCCGCGGTGCCATTGGCCGCGATCGCCGCCACCCGGCAGTAGTTGCAGGGGTCAGCTCCGCCTTTTCCTCTTTCCCTCGGCTCCGGTAACGGCGGATCGTGCAGCTATGGTGAGAGCGAGAAAATCCGGCGCCATCTGGTCGCCTTGAAGTTCCCGGGCTAGGATTGGGGGTGCGGGCTGAACACCGGCGCCTCATCTGCCGGCTGGGGTTAGGGATCTCCGGGGATCTCCGCGCAGAACGGCTTAGTGCCGCCGCAGCCCGACTCTTCTCTGCCGGCTTAGACCCGGGAGATGGCGCGCGCGGCAAATGCCCTCATATTTACATCGCGCGGTGGGCTGATGGCCCAGCCTAGTAGCCCTCCTGGCCTCGGGTACCCTGCCAGAATCACGACCTGAGGGTGGGTGCTTGACCCTGGCTGCCCATGGCAGAGACAAGACGGTCCGCGGGGTGTCTGACCCACACCTTTCCCGCGCGCAGGCCAAGATTAAGGCTCGGGACCTTCGTGGCAAGAAGAAGGAGGAGCTGCTGAAACAGTTGGACGACTTGAAAGTGGAGTTGTCCCAGCTGCGCGTCGCCAAAGTGACAGGCGGTGCGGCATCTAAGCTCTCTAAGATGTAAGTAGCCGGCATTGAGGGGCGCGTGAGTGTTGGGAGTGTTTGTGGACTTAGGAAGTTGGCTTCAGGAACTGGCCTGTTCAGGTGAATCTTGGGGGCGCGGGAGAGACTCGCTATGTGCTTACTCTTAACTGCCTTTGATCTTGTGTGCTTTTTCTCTGGAGCTCCCTTGGTCAGCTTTTGTAGCTGGAAAAAGAATTGGTTGAAGTCCCTGAAGCTCTTAACTGTTGTCTTAAGGGTATCGCCAAAGCCTAACTGGAACCTTTCCTTCCACCTCTAATGAGCACTTGATTTCTTTTTTCCATGCCTCGGACTTCTTATTTGAGTTGTAACTTACTTAGTTAACTTGAGTAAGGATCAGAGAGACTTATGAAAGGAACTAGGATTTGGAGTCATTTCCCTGAGTGTAAATTGCATTTTTGCCACATCTTACCTGGTAGGTAATTCAGTTCCTCTTTAAATTATGCCACCCTACATACTCATAAAATATCTGCCTAGGCAGGTGAGACAGGTGATTGAGGTGAGGAACACATAAGCATAGTTGTGTGATGGGTCCTCTAGACTATGTTTGTCTGTTCTGATACTGAGGGTTGACCCCCCAGGGCAATCTACCCTGAAGATATATTCCCATCCCTTTTAAAATTTTTGTTTCTGAGGCAATCTTGCTAACTTGCTGAGGCTTGCCTGGAACTTGTGGTCCTCCTGCCTCAGTGTCCTGAGTTGCAGGGCTTGATTATAGGCAACTGGACCTCAAGACCATATTTGCCCCAGACTGCTCCTAGATTTGTCCCCATCCCCATTGCATTTCAACTTCTTGAATGTCAGATGCCCATGACCTTAAATTAGGCTGGTTACCTGGCTTCTGGCATGATTCCCTCTCCTCTCTGCTAATTCAGATGGCGGATTGGGTTTTCATAGCCTTCATAAATTCTTGGCTTGGGATTGAAAGTCTTCTGATCCTCCTTGCCTCTTCATTAAGCTGCCTCAGGTTTTGCCTTAACTAGCTCAAAAGCACTGGACTTATCAGCCTTTTACTCTATTCCGAGTCCCTGTACATTCTCACGTTCAGAATCCCTTTCTCCAGGTTGAACATGGATGGCTTTTGTCCCTGCTCTACAATGTCACTATTAGCCCTGAACAAGATACTTGGAGATACTGTGTGTCATACCCACCTTCATTGATGTTTCTGTTTTGTAGCCGAGTTGTCCGCAAATCCATCGCCCGCGTTCTTACTGTCATTAACCAGACTCAAAAAGAAAACCTCAGGAAATTCTACAAGGTGAGGGGGCCCCCTGGGGACTTGGCAGCAGAAAACAAAGTTCCAGTCCTCCACTGGCCAGGGGGCGGCTTTGTGAAGTGGTTCTTTTAGGGTTCGTGGGGCTGAGAATATTTGAGCTCGCCAGGGCCTCCCAGTTTGTGTCTGGGTTCACGTGTGCGTGTGTGAAACAGGATCTATTCTGTCCAGGCTGAACTCATAATTCTCGTACCTTAGCCTCCCCATCCCTTTGCTGGGATCATGAGCGTGTGCCAGCACACTCAGCTAGAATTCATCTTACCAGCATGATTGCAGATGTCAAGAATGGTGTGGTGGGTAGTGGATCTGGCTGAAGACAACTTGAGCATTTTGGGGGTAGGGGTTATTTTTAAGTTTTGGAACAGAGCTTTGTTAAAATTTATTTTTTAGTTTTTGGCAGACACAACATCTTTGTATGTGGTGTTGAGGATCGAACCCGGGCTGCACGCATGCCAGGCGAGCATGCTACCATTTGAGCCACATCCCCAGCCCCAGTTTTATTCTTATAGTACTGAGGATCCAGCCCAGCACCTTAAGCATATTAGGCAAGTGCTGTTCCACAGAACTCTATCTCCAGTCTAGGAATGCCAGGGCTATGTGTCAGTCACTAGCAGGCATCTGCCATTCTCATTTGCCAAACCCCAGGGTTCAGAGAGGTCACGTTGCTCAGAGTCATCTACAGTCAGAAAAGTGGCAGGCCTAGCTTCCTAATTGTGTCTTAGAGAGGACTTAATGGGTGCTCCTCAGATTTCCACAGGTGTCTAGCCTCTTGACCTTGAATGTTAATGGCCATTTTTGTGGCTTATCTTTAAAGTTAGCCTTATCCAGGTGCCAGCAGAAGCCATTGGGTTCTTAAATTCACACATTTAATTTACTTTCTGGAATTGGTTCATGTGACTAAGACTCATGACACCACTGAAAGCTGCTGTCCTGGGTCAGATTTCTTGGAGGGCACCTCAATCTTGCTTTTAAATGCTTTTGACTGACTGAATCAGCTGCCTGGATTACTCTGGATAATCTCCCTTAATTGAAGTCATCTGATGGGGATTAATTAATGCTATCTAATGGCTTCACATCAGTACCCAAGTTAGTGTTGGGGTTTGACTCACCAAAAAAGCTACTATGGGACTGAGGCTGGGGCTCAGTGGTAGAGCACGTGCCTTGCACGTGTGAGGTGTGAGGCACTGGGTTCTATCCTCGGCACCACATAATAAATAAAGATTGTGTCCATCTACAATTTTTCCCTTTTTTTAAAAGCTAGCATGGTGTTATCTGGGCCAGCTTCCCAGAACACACTGGTATGTGGTTACTCTCCTGATAGGGTGTGTGCACATTTGTGTGAGAGGACATTTTTATTCTTAGGAGTGAGTCTGGAGCCTCATAACTAGCCATCCATTGAGGGCCCCTGCTCTCAGCTCAAACTGCTCAGTAGAGGAGGTAGGGGTGAGGGCTACAGAGGGGAACACTGATGGTGATGTTCCATGCTACACTGTCAGCCATGTGTAGCGAGTGGCTGCTGTATTGTACAGCAGAGCTTGCAAGCGGTAGTAAACTTGAAGTGAATTAAGTGCCCCACCAGTACCAGCAGATGAGCAGGAAGTGGGTGGACAAGATTTCCTTTCCTTTGAGTTCCTTCCAGGGCTTGCCCTCATCGCCTTCCATAGTTTCTCTCTGTGGTTCTCTGCCTTGTCTCCTGCCCATTGGATGGCTGGTTCCCCAGGGAGAGGTGTTGAGGCTTTTACACATGCCCTGCTTCCTGCCCTTTCAACAGATGGCTTTCATGCTAGCCTTTGAGGCTGTTGCTGCTAAAAGAAGCCTTCCTGAAACTTCTGCGTCCTTATCTTTGGGCCTTGTTGTCTGTTCAGTCTTTTTTACTGGGATGGGAGCTCCTTGAACAGAAACCAGGTCTGCTTCCTTGCTATGCTCAACAGCCTTGTCCTCAGGGCTGTTGCTGAACAAAGAAGAGACCAGTGAACCACCCTAGTCTGGGGCCCTTGGCTTGAGAGGAGTGGGAGCCGAGGGTAAACACTATGGCTCTTTTTCAGCTCTGGACAGTAGGGGGCAGAGCCTGCCCCTTATGCTGGTAATCTGGGCCAAATCTTCCTCAATATCTGGCATAATTGAAAGCCAAGGTAGTAGTTAGTAACCACCCTGGGATCTGGTGGGTGTCACATGTCCTTTGTTGGATTGTGGTATGACTTTGGCTTCATTATTGTCAGCCTGGCAAGTAGAAGGAACACTGAGGTGTGGGCACCTCTAGACCCAGTGAGTCAACAGCCTTACATAAAATGAGGACAGCCCCACCAGCCTTGGATTTGGGGCTGGTGAGTGAGCATGTGGCCTGCTGGCCTTCGGTCCCACATAGCAGCCTCTTATTGGGTGAACGTCCTACAACCCCTCGCTGCAAACCAACTTCTCTGTCCCCACAGCACCTTCCCACCTCCAGCATCTTCCTAGTGGTTTCTCCAAGTCTCATTCTGGCCCCTCAGGTTGTCTTCATCCTGCTGTTGCCCCTAAAATCCTGTTCTCAGATTGACCCTGCTGTCTGTGTCCCAGGGCAAGAAGTACAAGCCCCTGGACCTGCGGCCCAAGAAGACAAGAGCTATGCGCCGCCGGCTCAACAAGCACGAGGAGAACCTAAAGACCAAAAAGCAGCAGCGGAAAGAGCGGCTGTACCCTATGCGCAAGTACGCGGTCAAAGCCTGAGTGTTACGGCGCAATAAAACAAAAACTGGCTTTCAGTGCTTTGTGCTTAATGCTGTTTCCACAGACCAGACTGAATAGGTGGTTTGGGGCTAAGGCTGGAGCTACAGTGCCAGATGTCTGGTGGTGTCCTGCTACCCGTAGACGTCAGCTGCCTTGGTGTGGTGCTGGCGGACCTGGCTGCAGGGTCTGATGGGCACTCTTAGTTACTGTGGGCCTGTGTTGTTCAAGTGTGACTTGAACAAGCAGTGGTCTTGGTGTCTCACCTAAATAGCAGCTCCAGACACCAATAGTTTGCCTTGTCGGGTGAAGGCACAGGTGTGGGCCACATCCAGAAATCCCTGCCAGAAACACAGCACCAGGCTCCAGGTCCTGAAGTCCTTCCTGGATCCCTCACTGGGGGCTGCAGCTACAGGTCTTACCTTCAAGGTCTCAAGGCACTTTCCTGTGTTGTAGTCCCAGACTTTGATCTGGAAGTAGAAGAATAGGGGACAGGAACCTCAATAGGCCACAGTGGCATTTTTGAAGCAGCTCCCCAGCAAGTCCTGGACACCATCATGATCTGAAGCTTCTTATCTGCAGGGTATGTTTTAAATGGCCTTCGCCATGTCATGCCTGAAGCTATATAGGCCATAGAAGTGTCAATTCCACTGCAGTCTGGTCTGGCTCAGACCTTAGTGCTGGCGAATAGATTGGGCAAGTGGACTTATGGACATTTCTGGAAATGGGTACTGAAGACTCTGGGAAGAGGGGCACGTGAGCAAGGAGTCAGGGATGGCTGGGTTGGGCTGGATAGGTTACCGTTCCCGAGTAGCTAGCGCTGGCCAGCTGCCCCTCATCCGGAGAGAAAGCTATGCTGTTCACCCAGGCTACATGGCCCTTGAGCTGGACCATCAGGCTGCTGGTATTGGGTTTCCAGATGTGGATGTTCTTGTCCCAGGAGCCAGATCCCTAAAGAGAGCTCTGTGCCAGTGAGTATGGGGCCAGCATGCTCACTGGACACCCAAATGGCTCTTTAAGGGTCTCGTGTCCAGCCAAAGACTATCCTGAAACCCAGGGCAGCCCACCTTACCAGGAGGCCAGATGATGAATAACACAGACAGCTGATGTTGCCGCTGTGACCCTCCAGTTCCTGATGGAATACAGCTGGGGTCCCTACCCGCAGGTCCCAGATGCGCACAGTGGAGTCCCATGAGCCTGTGGCCTGTAAGCAGTGGCCAAAACTGGAGTAGCCCCAGCCTGCCCTTCTGGGGCCACTGAGGCAGGGGTCAAGGTAGAGGTGAAGCTTACCAGGCAGTTGGCATTGGGGGAGAAGTCGCTACTCTGGATGGAGTCATGGTGCCCTTCTAAGTGGCGCAGTTTGTGTCCCGACTAAGGAGAGAGGCAGAGGGCAGACCCAGGCCCTCCCTGCTTGGCAGCCTGGGTATTGTGATAACAGCACTGCCTGGGGAAGCACTGGGGGCCTAGATAGCAGGGAGGAGAGGCAGCCCAGATGGGGATCTCCTGCAAAGGAGATTGAGGCCCAAGATCTGATGGGGTGTATGTAGGGAGACTGGGAGAGGGCTGCAGTGGGGAACTAGCAAGGGTTTGAACCAGCAAAGCAAGAGGTGTGGCAGGTGGTGGTCCATTCTGACCCAGGCCTGGCCGTCCCCAGCCCCTTCACATACCTGCACTTCCCAGAGCATCACCTGCTTATCCCAGCCACCTGATGCCAGCTGTCTTGAGTCAGGGCTGAAGCTGAGTGTCTCCACACTCCGCTGGTGACCTGCAGTCACCATCCCAATGACAGAAGTTGGGGGAGGTGAAACAGGATACAGGCCTGGAAGGGGACCCAGGCTGGCCATGTGGCACCCAGGCCCACCCCCACTCACCCTTCAGCACCCACAGACATTCGGCTCTTGATAGCTCCCACAGGCGGATGGTACGGTCACTGGAGGAGCTGGCAAAAAGGTAGCCATCGGGGGAGAAGCAGCAGAACTTCACCGGGCCTGAGGCAGGGAGTTCAGGGCACTGCCCTCTACTCCCTGCTCACTGCCCAGGTCTTGTGGCCGCCCACCCCTTACCCAAACTCCAGTCACCTGAAAATGCTTGGATTTCCAACCTGGGCCTGGCCAAGGCTCAGCCTGGAATATCTGACCCCAGTTGTTAATCTGGAAAGTCTACTCAGATGTAGGCACCTCCTCCCTGAAACCTCCCTAACTCCCAGCCTCCGTTCCAGTCTGCCTTTCAGCTCCCCAGCCTGGACTTCCCTAGTCATCGTGTTAAATAAGTCTGCTCTGCAATTTCCTGGTTTTGTTTTCCTTCTCTCCCTAATAGTTAAGTCTACTTGGTCTTTACTGGGTGCTAGGCTTTTTGTGTTATCTGATTTTGTAAGGTAGCAACTTATCTCCATTCTATAGAGGAAGGAACTGGGTCAGGTGACATGACAACCAAGATCGTAGTCCAAAAGTGGTAGATAGAATATGGATGGCCCTAGAAGGCATGCTAAGTGAAGCCAGTGAAAAAGACAAACACCATTGATAAGACAGGAAGTAGAACAGTGGTTGGGAGTAGGGAGAGGAGTTGTTTAGTGGGTACAGTTTCAGTTTTGCAAAATGAAAAGAATTCTGTAAATTAGTTTTGTAACGTGAATGTACTTATCTCTGAACTCTACCTTTAAAATGGTTAATAAGTGCCAGGTGTGATGGTGCACGTCTGTAATCCCAGCTACTTGGGAGGCTGAGGCAGGATTGCAAGTTCAAAGCCACCCTCAATAATTTAGCCAGACGCTATTTCAAAAAATAAAAAGGGCTCGGAATGTAACTAAGTGGTAAAGTGACCCTGGGTACAATCCCCAGTACTGGAAAAAAATAAAAATTAAAGTCTGAGTTCTGATCTAAGAGCTGGAAGCCCCAGCTATCAAGAAGTCCTGTCTCCTTGTCTGGCTGCTCCAGCTATGTCCAGCCCCAATGCCCAGGACCAGTGTTGGAGGTCACTAAGTTAGGCTCTGCAGAATGCCAGCACAGATCTATGGGCCTCTGTCCCCCAGCCAGACTGCAGAGCCCCACCTGTGTGGCCACCCAGCCTCCACAGCAGCTGCCCACTCTTGGTCTCCCAACCGTACAGATAGCCGTCCTCAGAGGCTGTGAGCAGCGTCTGGCCATCAGGAGAGAAGGCAGAGCAGTTGACCTGGAAGTAGAGCACAGATGTGGTCCCATTTCTGGGACAGGAGATACCTGTCCATTCACTTCTGATCCCATCCTCCTGGGCCAGCCCTAAACACTGCCCAGGAACCTGCAGTGGTGATTTGGACTTAAGGCCTCACTGTACAACCCAAGCTCAGAACCCTGTAACCTGAGCTGAAGCCAGAGCTGGAGCCCGCCTTAGAACCCCAGAGGCAAGACCCCATTACAGCGGGGGAGCCGAGAATCGCAAGTTCAGAGCAGCCCCGAGTTCGTTTTGGAGCCAAAGCCCAAGAATACTGGAGCCAGCAGGAGCTTCAAGCCCTCTCTGGAACCAGAGCCCAAAACCTAGAGCCCCATTCTGGAGCTGAAGCCCAGGGAACACCCTGAACCCCCATTACACAGAACCGGGGACTTGACTGCCAAGCCAGGAGCCTAGAGCCTGGGCAAAGCCCATTGGGCCTCACCTCCCCGCGATGCCGGCCAAAGAATGTCACTCTCCCCACGGAAAGTGGAGCCCTGCTATTCATGGGCCCCCGACGGTCCGACCTTGGAGGATTCGCTCCTAGGCCAGCGCTAGTCCCGCCTGCGGAACCGCGTTTAGGACTGGCCCAAGGAAAAGGGGAAACTGTGTACAAGAGATCTCCATGGTAATAAGGGCGGGGCGCGCAGCTGCGTTGGGGACTTTGGGAAGCCACAGGGAGAAACAAAATCTGGGGAAGAGCTCTCAATTTGGGGAAGGTGCGGCAGCGGCTGGCAGAACCGCCGCGGGCGGCTGGGAGAAGAGGCTTCCCGCGCTGGCCGTTGCCTGCCCCGCATTGGACTGCGCAACCACGAGTCGCGACTGCTCAGAGCAGCCGCTAGAGGGCGCGCCAGATACGCACCTCAGCTCGGCCCAGCCCGCCCGCACGCTCTGAGCCCATGTTCAATGTTATGCAGTTAGCAAAGCGCTCCGCAGATCTCTTTAACAGGACTCGGGGTAGCAGTGAGCCCATTTACCAGCATCTGCACACCGGGGAGGATCAGCCCTGTCCGGCAGGACTCCAAGGCTGAACCAAGCACAGGGAGGGCCTGGCACACAGTAGGTGCCCAAGAGGACGGGCTCTGGAGCCAAGAACCTTCTGTCTAGGAATGATTGGTTCAGAGGCTGAGAAAGACCAGGAGAAGACTGGGAACAGTAGCCATCACCACCCTCTAGGGTGTGGGGAGCCAGAGGCAGTGAGCACAAAGTTCAGAGCATTAAAAAGTGGGGTTAAGCCAGGTGCAGTGGTGCACGCCTATAATCCCAGCAGCTCCGGACATTGAGGCAGGAAGATTGCGAGTTCAAATCCCGCTTCAGCAAAAGTGAGAGCTAAACAACTCAATGAGACCCTGCCTCTAAATAAAATACGAAATAGGGCTGGGGATGTGGCTCAGTGGTTGAGTGCCCCTGATTCAATCCCTGAAAAAGAAAAAAGTGGGGTCAAATCCCAGTGACTTGGGAGGCTGAGGCACGAGGATCTCAAGTTCGAAGCCAACCTGGCAACTTAGCCAGACCCTATCTCAAAATAAAAAGGGTTGGGTTGTAGCTCAGTGGTAGAGTGCCCTGGGTTCAATTTCCAGTACTGCCTCACACCCACCAAAACAGGATCTGGCTTGGATAACTTGGCCAGAAATCTGGAAAGAACAGGTCCTGATGAAACAGGACCCAAGAAATGGGAGACTTGCCCAAGGCCACTCAGACAGTAGAAGCGGGACCAGGATTTTGTCCCACATCTGACTGACTCTGGGATCTGTATCCAGACCATGTGCTGTGAATTCCAGGGTTTGGAAGCAGGTGCTATATTCGCTGACTCCTGGTACATCTGGAAAACTGAAGCCCCCAAGGGGACAGAATTTGATAGTCACCCAGCAGAGCTGAGGACAGAACCCAAGCTGTCTCCCAACCAGCCCCAGCCACAGTGGAACAACAAGGTGGCACAAATTCACCCCCAATGGATTCCGGGATCCTTGAGGCAGGTGGGCAGCTAGGCAGCTGGGCTTTGGGTGTTTCAAACTCAAGGGCTCCCATCAGGGACTCAGCCCCTCCCCCCAGGCCCCTTGGCCAGAAACTTCTCACGTGATAGCTGTGTTCCTGCTCTATTTTAGGCCCCAGACAGTCAGGCGAGTGAGGGGGCAACAATGGTGGCTTTGAGGCAGCCCCACCCCCATCTACACTCCCAGAGGACCCAGGTCACTGAATTGGCTCCTCTAGTCCCCGTCTGAGCTGGAACTAGATGGCTGGCCCCCAACCCTGGGCATGGGTCCCAGACGCTTTCCCCCAGAATGAGATCCCTGGCCCTCGGCCTCCCCCTGCTCAGATACCTCGACCCCATGCCCCTTCTCTGGGCACATTTTCTAGCCACCTGGTCACTCTTGCTCACTCTGTGGGCCCAGAACTGCCTTCTCCAGCCCACCTGTTACTCCCAGAGCCCTCCCAGTCAATCTTGTCTACCAGGCCCAGTGATTCCTCTGCCCATGGGGTAGAGCTGGGGTTAAAATGTATCTCCTTGCTCCTGAGGTCTGGTATTGCGGTGAGCTACCATGAACCCCAGTCTCGGGCCTTCATCCTATCCCCACGCCCACATTGCCCCTTCTGCCACCATCACCTTCACCTGGGCCTGTTAACAGCAGTACCTTCTGCCTGGAGTGCTCTTCTCCATCCTCAAATCAAGCTCAAACCTCACTTGATTGTCCACTACCTTCCCTTGCCAAACCTTGTCCCTCAGCCTAAGTTAGAGTTCCTGTCTCAGAGATAAGCAAACCCAAATCCCCGGAGGACTTCAGTCTGCAAAAGGAAGGAAGCAAGGAGACTAGCAATGGCAGGCATGACTCCTGCTCCAAGTTGCCAGAGGAGTGTCCTCTGTTTTTAGGAGTCAGCCCTGCCCACCTGGCCCTGCCCACCTGGTGCTTCCCACCTCTCCCCACTCTCCTGGCTTCCTGCTCTCTGCCTCATTCCTTGTTCCTCCCAGGCCTGAACACTTTTTGGAGCTGCTGGGTTTAGGCTGAGGGGTTATGTAGCGCCAGGGTTGGGCGGTGTTTTCTGACCAGTGCTTTGAGAAGCAGAGAAAAATATTTTGTGGCAAGAGGGGAAGCAGAGAGTTGGAGCTGGCTGCCCAGCTCCTGCCAGCTCTCGGCTCCCCGCTCCAGTCCCCAGGCCTGCCCCTCCAGAACTAAAAGAACCTTACAGTGAATCCCTTGTGCCAAGTGAGCTCTGACAGGTGCTTGCCACCCGAAGGACCTTGACGAAAACATCTCTGTAAGTTCCAGAAGTTGGTACCCGGTACTTTGTTTCTGGGCCTCTTCTCTGGGGCCCCCTACAGTCATTTGCATACTGGGATCCTGGTTCCCCATGGGTCCCCCAAGCTATAATCAATGCCCTCAAGTCTCTGTGACTTCCTCATGACCTGGATCACCTCTGTTAGTACACACTGATGTGTGTTCAATGCCCCTCCTGGTGTTTGGGGACCAGAACTGTTCCTTACGTGGACTGGCAACTGCTGAGTGGAAAGGCACTGTCCCCTCCAGTTCCTAGACACTCAGTCTCTAGTAAGGTGGCCTGCAATACCAGAAGCACTTGTGGTTTCAGCAGCTGCATGAGTCACTACAAACACAGCATGTGCTTTTTCCCACGAACTGCTGTCCAGCCAACTCTCCCTCCCCATCTGGTACTTGCAGTGGATTCTTCGGAAACACATGAAGACCTTATATTACGCTGGTTAAATGTCATCTTCCTGGCTCTCATCCACTCTTGAGCACTGTAAGAGTCCCACTTCCTTTGCACAAAGCATTAATTCTACTGTGGCAGCTGCGAATTTATGAGTAGGCCTCTGGATTTCGAAATCCAAATTGGGGAAATGATGCTCCGTGGGACGGGGCAAGGACAGAGCCCTGTGACCAATCACTACAGACCCCCAGTGATGTTGTTTCTGCTCCTGCCCATACCCATGGGAATCAAGGACTAGCCAGTGGACCCAGGGGAGGGCACACTCCCGCAGGAGATGTCCAAGTGGGGAGAAGGTAATGCAGCCCGAGCAAGACTCCAATTGCAAACAACTAAACCGTGTATGGCCATGTGAGACAGGCTGGGCGTCACAATGGGAAGACAGAAATACCATCAGGCTAGGAAGGACAGGAAGCCAAACTGCCTTTTCCAAGGGAGATTGAAACACTTCATTCTTGAAGAGCATGTGATTGACCCAGAAGGGGGTTATATGGCCATCCCTTGGCTAGGGGAGGTCAGCACACCTTGATTGGCAGTCCTTGGAGACCTGGGCTTCTGCGCCACCTCCTCCCTGCTGTCCGTCAGTCAGGGATCTATCTCTAGGTCTGTCTAAAGCCAGCTGTGCACCTGCGCCTGTGTGCTCTGGGGACAGACAGTTTCATCCAAATCTGGCTCCATCACCTACCAGCTGTGACCTCGGGCCATTCTCCACCTGCCGCATGCCTCTTCTTCAACTCTAACTTAAGGATGGTGACCAACCCTTCCTGGGAGCGTTGACCTTGGGGCTCAGTTCATGTCTGTCCAGCATATCTGGCCCCTAGTGAGCAGTGAGCGTATCCTCAGCTCTGAATGGTTAGCTAGCATGGCCACATCCCCTAATGTGAGCCCAGTCAGGAGCCTCAGAGATAGCAGGGAAAAAACGCTGTGTCCAGATTTAATAACTGGTCACCCTGTTTTTTTAAGGAGGGGCAAGTGGTTTGGTTTAACTTCCATTGACCCCCCTTGGCTTCTCTGGCTACTGCTTCCTTCTCTGAGCACTCAGGCCACCTACTGAACAATCTGTCTCATCAGTGGACATTTTTAAGTATTATTATTCTTTACATTTTTATTTATTTATTTATTTTTATGTGGTGCTGAGAATCGAACCCAGTGCTTCACATACGCTAGTCGGCAAGTGCTCTACCCCTGAGCCACAATCCCAGCCCCCATCAGTGGACATTTTGCCATCAAAACTGCCTAACAGGGCAGCAACTGCTGGGTTTGCCATTTCTAGAAAAGAAGCACAGTGGTGCTATCTTGCTGCCAGCTTCCAGCCTCTGAGCCATTCAGTGTGGTATAAACTCACACCTTTCACACAGGCTCCTCTTTCTCTTTTTCTCTTTAGAACTGGAGATTCCCAGCCTTTCTATTTTTGTATTTTGAGACAGGGCCTCACTAAGTTGCTGAGGCTAGACTCCAATCCTCCTACCTCAGCCTCCCAAGTCACTGGGAATATGAGCATGCACCACCCCACCCAGTAACACTCTGGCTCTTGTGAGATACAATTTCTCCAGCCAAAAAACTTCTGTTTGGGTAGCAACATGACCCGGATGCCAGAAGAAAACTGAGAAGCTCAGAGGGCCTGACCACCACCCACTGTCCCCAGCAGCTCCTGGCCCTCCCAGCTCCAGGGCTCAGGGACTTGTGCCCACAGGCCTCCTTGGGCTTCACCCATATTCCTGTGACTCTTACAGAAGAAAAGAGTGCTCTGAGGCCCTGGGATGGACACAATGGAAGCCTTGAGCCTCCACCCTCCTAGTGCCTGGCCCAGTGTTGGGATGGAGTGAGGGGCTGGTGTGGTATCCAGCTATGCAGCCAGCAGGGCCACAGCCCAGGCAGAGAGGACTCTTAGGTGTTCCACTTATTTCATGTTTT